TTTAGTGTTGCGAAAAGTTTTAATTTCTTTTCTCTTCTCTCTGTTTTTGAAAACTTATTTAAGAAAACAGCCAATCCAGTTTGGTTGGTCCATTATATGAGTCCAATAATATTGTATTTGGATGGGGCTTTACAAGAGCTTTCTAACGATATATTATAAGCCCAATTCCGATGAATATTGAGGAAGTTATGGCCAATTTACCAAACTGGGCCCGGTTTGAGCCTTATAGGCGGCCCAATGATCTAGGGGAGGGCCTAACATGATTTATCATTCCTAATGCAATTAGGAATGGTTTTAGTCTTCTAGATTCTTCTAGAAGATTATTTTCATTCCTAATTCAATTAGCATTGATAAATTGACTTTCATCGACTTTTTAGAGTTTTAATTAAAATCAAAGAACATTTTTGAGGAAAAGATACGATTTTATCCTCCTGTACGGCAAAAATTATCTGATTTTCGAAAACGCGTCAAAAACAAGACTAGCGCCTGACGCCAGGCATTGGCGCCTGGAGCTAGGTCTGGCGCCTTGCGCTTGCATTGGCGCCTGGCGCCAATCAGCTGGCGTTGGCGCCAGCTCTGTTTCACGTGCGCCGGATGCTCTGTTTTGATAATTTATCTTTTAGGCTGATTTCTCTATAAATAACGTATTAAAAACTCCGTTTTCGATAACCAGATTTCACCTACAACCAGTTTTCAATTCTCTTTCATTCTCTTTAATCATTCGCTAATTCTCATCAATTCTCATTCTTCTCTTTAATCATTCACCATCTTTCTTTCTCTCTCTCTTTTTCTAAACTTGCTTTTTACATACAAAATTCCGCATTCACAAGATCTAGAAACACCTAGCCTTATTCGAAGCTGCCTTCGCCCTAGACGTGAAAGGTTTAATTTCTGAGGGTTTGGTCCAAAATCTTTATTTCAATTATTTAATTTAATTGTTTGTTTATTATTTTTCCTTGAAGTTACTAACGTGTGTATTTTGTTATTAGAAAGAGGTACGAGGCATCAAAATAAGTAGTTTTATTGATTTATTGATGTTATAATGTAGAAATCATGTTTATATTGTTGTTATGATATTCCTAGTATCATGTCTAGGGTAAATTTAATATTAAATATGATTGTTACGATGCTTCCTATGTTCTTCCTAATATTTATGATTTCTAGTATCATGTTAGGGCTAAAGCTTTGATTTTTTATTGCTTAGTGACATGCTAGGATTTGTTATTAATCTTGTTAGTATCATGCCTAGGATCTTGCTATTATTATGCTTTAATATTAACTTGAACATGATTATGATTATTAGGATTATAATTTTATTGTCATGATATTATTATTATTATTATTATTATTATTATTATTATTATTATTATTATTATTATTATTATTATTATTATTATTATTATTATTATTATGTTACTTGTTATTGCTTGATCACACCTTTTATTCATGTTTAAAGGGAATTGGTACTTGTAATCACGCTTAATAAGATAATTAATAATCTTGTTAGGGTTAATTGTGATTATAATTTCAAGTGATCGCCAATAATAGATTTATTTGTGCATTAATATTCAACCAAAATAGATAAACAGGTTTAGGGTTAAACCTATTGATTGCATGTTAGTCAGAAAACGCACATGAATACGATCAGAATAAAGTAGAGGTCTATTATTAGGGCAGGTTCAATATCTTTTAGGTTGGATTTGTACCTTTATCCTCGAACCCATATTCGGTTCTAGACCTTATGGAGTTGACGATCTCTTGGATTGTTAAGGGGTGTAACCTTCACCCTGTGAACGGTTTACAAGTTCCTAAAACTTGTTGGCGACTCTTTGCTCTATCTTCTTTCCCTTTGGACGTTTCCCTTTGGACGCAACCGTACTTTAGTGTATGATCACAGTGGGGTTCAAGCTAGGGGTTAACGCTTGAAATTATTCCCTACAAAGGTAAACTTAGATGTGAAGCAAGGTTGATCATTCCTCAATTCAAACTCAATAAACTACCAACTTTCAAATCAAAAATTCTAGCAACTCCTCCCCCAAGCTTATTCTTTTTCAACCAAACAACAAATATTTTTGTATTTTCTCAATTTTTTTTTATTTTTTTTTTCTTTTTTTCATTTCTTTTTTTTTTTGTTCTCGCCTCTTTTAACTTTTAGCGGCTTTTTCTTTCATTTCCTTTATTTTATTCTCATTTGCTCAAACCATTCAACATAACATATGAAGTCCCAAGAATTGAGGTTTTCACTTCTTTTTCATTCTTTTTCTCACTTTCATTAACCAAAAATACAAATGAAGTCCCAAGAATGCTTCACAAAAACTAATAAAGGTGAAAATAAAGCAAAGGTCCATTGGTTTGTAATGTGGTTATGCCAAAGAAGGGAAAATGGCTCAAATTGGGTTACTAAATGAGCAAATGCAAAAGAAAAATAAAAAAATAGAAAATAATAAAACAAAACAAAAATCTTAATTGCCTTCGTCTTCCCCTAGGTTGGTTCGGTCTTGATCTCGGGTAGAATCAAGCCAAATTCTCGATATAAGCTAGCAATGCCAAGGATCCAAACGCCACACATGCAAGAAATGTGGAAGGCTAGAACAATATAGACACCTCCTCACAAGAATAACGGTAGCGGAGTAGCAAAAATTACCTTTAAAGCTACAACTAGCTAGAGAGCGACAACCATCATACCACAAACCAAGTGAGGTAAGGTCTCATACACTACGTGAAAAAATGAATTTGGCACCGGTTCAAACCCGGCCTAAGGCACCGGTTTGAACCGCTGCCTATGTGGGGGGTGCCAAAAGGGGTTTAAAAAGGCACCGGTTCAAACCGGTGCCAAAAATCGAAATTGGCACCGGTTAACCGGTGCCAAAAAGGCCCACAGAAAATTATTTCAAAGTTTTTGGCACCGGTTAAAAAACCCCCAAAAATAATTTTTTTTTTGTTGTTGTCATTTTTCACTTAAAAAATCAAATTGACTAAAATAAATAAGAACAACAACATATTAATCAAATATCATTGAATATAACCGAAATTTACAGTATATAATCAAGAAAAAATTACAATATACAAATTATAAAATTAAACAATTACAACATATAAATAAATAAAAAAGAACTACAATATAAATAAAAAAAAATATTACAACATCACAATAAAAAAAAACCCAAACATCTAAATCAATATTCTTGATTCTTGATTCTTGATTCTTCAATTATGTGCAATATTTTGGGCCTGCAAAGCAAATAGTATACCTGCGCCAATTAGTTCATCCAACAAAATCAATTAAAATGTATTAGCTGCGAAATTAGTTAAAAACCCATAAATTAAAAAAAAATCGAAAAAATTAAAATCGAAAAAAAATTAAAACCCAGAAAATCGAAAAAATTAAAATCGAAAATTAGTTAAAACCCAGAAAATACAGAAAATGAAGAAAAAATTAAATTAAAACACAGAAAATCGATAAATTAAAACCCAGAAAATTAAAAAAAAATTAAAATCGAAAATTAGTAAAAAACCCAGAAAATTAAAAAAAAATCAAAAAAATTAAAATCGAAAAAAAAATTAAAACCCAGAAAATCGAAAAAATTAAATCGAATATTAGTTAAAACCCAGAAAATCCAGAAAATGAAGAAAAAATTAAATTAAAACCCAGAAAATCGAAAAAAAATTAAAACCCAGAAAATAAAAAAAAATAAAAAAAATAAAAATCGAAAATTAGTTAAAATCGAAAAACAAATAATAATCGAAAAATGAATCAAAATCAAAAAACAATAATAATACCCAAAAATGAAATCAAAAAACAAAACCCAAAAATGAAATCGAAAAACAATTACCCAGAAATGAAATCGAAAAACTAATACTCAAAAATGAAATCGAAAACAAATATCCATAATTCGAAGAAAAATAAATCAAAATCGAAAAAAACCTATTAAAATCGAATAAAAATGAACAGAAATAAAAAATAATAATCAAAATAAAATAAAAAAAATACCAAGAAATCGATTGAAAGAAGTGAGGACGGTGTTACATGTTGGAAGGAGATGTGGGAGAAGGAGATGAGGGAAGAGAAATGGAAGGAGGACGGAGAAGGAGATAGAGAAAGAGGAGGAGAGGAGAGAGAAAGAGGAAGAGAGGAAGAGAAAGAGGAAGAGAGGAGGAGAGAAAAAGAGAAACGGCTGATTGAGTTATTGTGTTAGGGTTGGGGGGCTTTTATATTGGCCGTTTTTTTTTTTATATATTTAATGGCACCGGTTCACTTCAAACCGGTGCCCTTTTATTCTTTTGCCACCGGTTTGAAGTGAACCGGTGCCATATATCCTGGTTCAACTTCCCACCAAATTTTAAGGCCATTTTTGGCATGGGTTTGGACTAAACCGGTGCCAATTAGGGGGTGCCTTTTTGATTTTTTCTACTAGTGATAGCCCTTAAGTTCTACTACCTTGGCAATGTTATATGTGTGAACCAACCTCGACATTCAATTGCATGAAAACCTCTAACAACTAGCAAAGAGGGTATTCTACACTACTACAAAATTGGCCTAAGAGACCGGTTAAGTGCATAACAGGTCTCTTATAGAGGAGAGACCGATTATCTTGAATGACAGGTCTCTCAAAATATCAAAGAGACCCGTCATTTAAGAAAACAGGTCTCTTGAATTTTTTTTTAAAATTGAGAAAAATAGAGAGACCCGTCATTTAAGATAACAGGTCTCACGTAATATCCAAGAAACCGGTCAATTATAATAACCGGTCTCTTGAATGTTATTTTTTTTTTAATTGTGAGAAATTAGAGAGACCCGTTATTCTAAATAACAGGTCTCGAAAAATTTATTCTCCCATATAGTTAGGCAGCCATAAGCCCATTATGTCCCAAACCCTAAACCTTTTCATATTCTCTTGTCCTACCTCTCCTCCTCCTCAACTCATTTTTTTCTGTTTCTCAAGCGAATCTTGCACAAAATATAAAAAATAATTACTATCATTCACTTCTTTCTCAATTTGAAGAAGTTATCTTCACTCTATAGTTTCAAAATTTCAAGATCTTTGGCCAAGGTGAGTGTTTTTCGGTTTTTGTTAATGAAAAATCTAAATTTCTTAGAATTATTGTTTTTCAACATCTTTTTTATTGTTAAAAAACAATAATTTGTCCGATTTTCCGTTTAGCCATGATAGTAGATTGTTTGTTTGCTTGTTAATGTTTTCGTTTCAAATGATATTTTTGCAATTTTATTATGATATTTTCATTTAAATTAAAAACACCTTTCATAGACAAATCTAGTAATTGTTGTCTTTATTAATTTCGTATTTGATTTGTACTTCTGTTTCCATTTTCAATTTCGATTTCAACGTTTATTTTTAAGTTCTGTTTTTTTTTTAATTTTTTTTTATTCCTTTGAGAATTTTTTGACGAATTATTCTATAAGTTGTCTTTGGAATTAGTATAATTTTTCTTGATTTGATTTTGCATGTGTTCATTGTCATTAGAATCGAATTTTACTTTTAGATCTTGTATTTCATTAGTTAAATCGAACAATTTCTCATTTTTTTTATTGTAAACGAATTTTATTTTATTTTATATCTCGTTTTTAAAATTTTTGTTTTTTTCTTTTCAATCTGTCATTGTTATGATTTATTTTCAGATAATAATATTTGCTTTAAATTTTTTTTTAACTTGTGTATATTTGTGGTTGTAGGTAACGATCTCTCAATTTTCAAGTTTGAACCGAAGAAATCTGCAATTGAAGATCTGGAGATCTTTGAATTTTAGTCATCATTTTCGGATTTTTTTTATGTATTGAATTTTCATTCAAATCTGTACTATGTACATAATTTTTGAGGTATATGAAATACAAGAATTATTTTTTTACTTCTGATTTTGTAATGGCGAAATAAATAAAATTAAATAAATTATTATTAATATCGACGAATTGTAATTATAAAGAAATCCTTTTTTTTTTAAATGAGACCAAAGAGACCCGTGAAGTGAAAAAGCGGTCTCACTTTTCTCAAAAAAGAGACTGCTTATCTAAGAAAATAGAGACCGCTTTTCTTATAAAGGCGGTCTCAATTTCCTAAAAATTGAGACCGCTTATATTTAAGAGGCGGTCTTACCTTTCACATTCTAGAGACCGCCTCTAATAAAGTAGTCTCTTTACCAAAGAGACCGCTGCGCTAGAGACCGCCTAAGCATGATCAATCAAAGCTACAAATGCCAAAAGTCAACTCAATAAGGCGCTCATGGCCATCCAAACATAGAAAACCAATCTCAATAATAGACTTTGGCAAGTAGGAGTGAAATAAATCAAGCAATCATGAGACTATGGATTAAGAAACCACCAAGAGATATAGATAACCCCCCAAGCTAGCGAATAGCTACTCCCCCAAGCTAGAATGGAGCATTGTCCTCAATGCTCAAAATAAAGGCACAAAGGGTGGGTGGGAGGGGAAGAAAGAAAACACATTCACACAACAATTCATAATTCATTCAATCCAAATGCATATAAGAAAGCAAATCCAAGATGAGGGAAGAAGGAAAGAGTAAACCAAATGTGAGGTGGGTGTTGAAACCCGCAATTGAGCACGTTGTCCACAATTTCATCTAATTCCTCGTCTTTATTGCTTTTCCAAATGGAAGCAATCGTTGGTGTGCTTCTTCTCAAGGAGCTGAATCCAAAATCCTTGCACATGAGTATATGCATCGAGTACCTATACACATAGACAAGAGAGTAAACAAAAATGAGAAGCATAAAAGAAAATCTTATCTAAAAAGAAAAGAAAATGGAAGCAATAAAACATGGGTAACTCCCGAGAAAGGCTTGCTTAACGTCCAAGCATGACCAATCTAGTAAATAACCCGACAAAGAACGCAAAAGCTTTTCATATGCACCGGCAAACATATCAAGAAGTAGAGCATACGCGATGCTCATATGACAAGCAAACATAAAGTACAAGGAGATTTTATGCTTGAGAGAAGGGAGAAAAGAAAAAGTAAAAGAATTAAAAGAAAAATCAAGAAAATAAGAAGAAAAAGTAGAAGAAGAAAAAGAAAAATCCTCACAAAAATCTTTTTGGTTGGCATTATAACTCTTTTTCTCATCAACAATGAAAGAGTTGGGGGCTTCGGAAGCATGAATAGGAAGAGGATCCCTAAGAGGTTCTTTGAGAAAAGAAGGGAGGAACATAGGATAGTAGGAGATATGGTTAAACCTTTGGGAAAAAGGTGTATGAGAAAGGCAAAAAGGGGTAGCTAATCCCTCATCACAAGATCTCACATCACTAATGAGGGAATGAAAATCAATCATGGAATCCTCAAATGAAGAACCCTCACGTTCTACATCTCCCTCAAGCTCAAAAACTCCAAGCGATTCAACCTCAACCTCCTCTTCACAACCTTGAACAACATCTCCCTTAAATTTCTCAAGGCCTACCATCTCAAAATCAAGAGTGAATGGGGGCAAATTTCTCTCAAACTCATCTCTTTCTAATGAAGCCTTATCAATGAACTCACTCATAAGGTTATGGGCTACCGTTTGAAACTCAAGAAAAATTTGGCCCATAATCTCAATTGAGTCCAAATCATCATGGATAGACGAGTCAAAAGCTTGCTCATTGGAATCATCTAGGGGACTATGGGGAACACCTTTAGAATTCGTGCAAAAATCAGATGCAATATGAGAAAGAACATGCACTTCATCATCATTAGAATGTACCTCATTACAATGAGCTATAGAGGGAGGGGAGTTGAACTCATGCATTACATGGTCACTATGGGGAGAATCAAGCACATCATAGGAATTCATATTATACAAATCATGACAATTAGCATCAATATTAAAAGCATGAGAATCCCGAACATAAGTGTCATGATTGGCCCTCTCCCAATCATAATTATCCCTAGGTAACCATGAATAGAAATCCCAAGCCTCATCCGAATACATGTCTTGAAATTTACCATTTAACATATTATCAACTACTCCTCTAAAATTCTCATTTAATCCCAAATTGATGATTTCACAATAATCACCCTTGGTTAAACCTTTAACACCATCTAGGAAATTCTCAAGTCTATTGAAATACACCCAAAACGGTTCATTATCAAATTGAGGAATAGAAATATAAGCCATTTTTTTCAAATAAAGCAACACAAATAAAAAACCAACAAATAAAATGAAAATTATAAACAATGGACTAGTCTCAATAAGATAACACAATGGTAATGGAAGCCGTTCCCCGGCAACGGCGCCAATTTGACAAGGGAATAAACGCGTCGTCAATTGTCTATCCCTAGATCAAATACAATTTATACAACCTAAATAAACCAAATACGAGTATAAGGCAAGCATAGGGGTCGAACCACAGAGAACGGATAAACACCACCAAATGTTATCGACAATTAAGCTAGTCCGGAATAGGAGATAAATAAACTAAAGTATAAAGATGCTAAAGCAAGAAATAAAACATTAAGGGAAATGGTTTAGGTATAACATTCACTTGAACATAAACAAAGGCATAGAAATTGAATTAATTATGAACTAAACAAGCATGAATATCGAAGTAAAAGATCCAATCTAGCCGCCTTCCGGGGTCAATTGGCTTCTCCTAACATAGCCTCTATGTTTCCACATTAGAACCATATACTAGGAGGTACTATTAAATAACAATCGATAGTAATGAACCTTAACTAAGTCAACTTCCGTTTCTTGTTAGCAAAGATTCACCTTTAATCAACCAACAATGTGCACTTGCAAGAAGATTAAAGAATATCAAGCATATAAAGACTTTAATCACAAATAAATCAATTCTAAACCCTAGAACATGCTCAAGATCAACTACACCACAACCATCCCCTTAATGGGAAATTACTCACTTATCATGCTAATATCAAGATTAATTAACAAACAATCAAGAATAAACATGATTAGCAAGCAATACCAACAACTAAAATAATAATCAAAATAAAGCAAATAAAAATAGAGGAGAGAGAGTTAGAGATTCTCATTGGTTGAATGTGAAAATCTACAAACAAGATAGTCAACCTTCTTCTTCAATATCCAAGCTCAACAATGGTGAAACCCTCACTTTCTCTCCCTAAATTATCCTAATCCTAACCTAAACCTAGAGAGAGAAGCTCTCCTAAAACTAATTAGAGAGTAGAATAGATTGTTATTGGATCTCCCTCCTAATTACCCCAAAAATGGGTATATATACTAAGCTAGGAAAAAAAGAAAAAGAAAAGAAAAGAAAATTAATTAAAAAGGAAAAGTAAAAATAAGAACTAAATACAAAAATAAATGAAAGAAATAAGAAAAAGGGAAAAGAAAAGAAACTAATTAAAAATAAAAGAAAAAGAAAATAAAAATAAAATAAACCCACAAATCCCCAACAAAAACAATCAACCCCTATTTCCTCTTCTTCTTTGATTCTTTGCCTGCTTCAATTATCATCTTCACCATTCATCAAAATCCATCATCATGCTTCATCAAAGAATCACCACCGCTCATCCTCGTTTATCATCAAGCATCATATAAAAACCGTTCGATCTTCATTATGAGTCACGCGTGAAGCTCGTGACATGGTTCGGTCGAACCACGGGTTGGTGCGGCCAAACTACGGGGTTGGTTTGGTCGAACCATGGGTGTGTTCGACCACATCTCTTCAATTTACAGAACTTTGAAAGTCTGTGACTCGTACTTCGACCGAACTCTCAACGGTTTTCTCGAGCACAATTGGAATTTGATTTTGCTCGTGCGAATTTGTTTCGATTGGTTGCTTAATTGTTGCTAGTTGTTGACGGTGGTGCAGGTGCGGCTGATTGCTGGTCAGGTGGTAGATTGGAGGTGGTGGTGGCTGTTACTTGGTTTAGTCGATTGATGGTTATGGTGGTTGTTACGGCTGCCGTGGTTGAGTGTGTGAGGGAGCAGCGGTGTTAGTGGTTTGGGTGGTTGCAGGTTTATAGAGGTTGTTGTTGATGTGCGTGGTTGATTGTGGTGGAGATGGAGCAGGGGAATAAGTTACGGGGGTGATTGGTGGTGCTGTGCGTGAAGGTGGTGGTGTGGCTGCTGTGGTTTGGTTTGGGTGGCTGCTGGTGTTGGTGAGGGTGAGTGGAATTGAGTGGTAGCTGCTATGTTGCGTGAGGGAGGCAGTACGGTGGTCAGGTGGTTGCTCTGAGTTGCGGTGGTCAGGTGGTTGTTGGTGCGAATTGGAGCAGGGGAAATGGAGGTGAGTGGTGGATGACAGGAGATGGCTGTTACGGTGGAACTTGTTGGTAGAGCTGGCAGCATGCTCATGAAATGGGGCTTGGGCATTTCACTCAAATTGAAACCCGAACTCACTTGGCACGAAACCCGAACTCACTTGGCATGAAACCCGAACACCTATAGACAAAACCGAGAAAAGATTGGGACAAAGAAAAAAAGAATAAAATAAAATGAAAATAAATAAAGGACGAAATAAAACAAAACCAAGGCAAATAAAATAAAATAAATAAAATAGAAATAAATAAGATGAAATAGAAAATAAGAGACATAAAACTAAACTAAAAAAATAAAACAAAAACTATACAAGCAAATAAAGTAAAATAAAATACGAAAATAAACTAAAATCAATAAAATAAAGAAAATAAACTAAAATGCTCCAAAATTACCAAAATAAACTAGAAACTTTATTAAAGAGAAAACAAAAGAATAAAAGGAAAATAAGGGAAAATAAACAAGAAAATAGCTCTAAAACTACTCCCTAAGAGTGACATAAATGTCACTCATCCAATTCCCCCAAGCTAAATCTTTGCTCGTCCTCGAGCAAAGCTAAGACAAAAGAGAACAAGATGGAATTATTGAAAGCAAATGAAACAAAATAGAAACAAAGAGA